AAAAAAAAGAAAAAAAGAAAAAGTAACGATCGAACAATTTCTACACAGAGTATTTAACACGTCGTCCGCTGTGATGGAGCATGATTAATTTCGAGTAGCAGGCCGTGTTGTCGTTTCGCAACGTTGCTCGACGTAGTACGCCTGGTCGAAAGTGGCTAGATGAGTCGCTTGGTTTCGGCATTAATTTGGCGGGCCTTTGGTGTCTCTGTCGCCGAAGGCTGGTCCAGAATGGCCGGTAGCCTTAGTTTCCATCCTTGGACGATGCCACAAGAGCATTAAGTTCGTGGGTTTCTGCGGGAAACCTTGAATACGCTCGGCTATAACTGGCAGACTCGGTGTGTATACCGGGTAATTGCAGTGACGCGGATATTACGATGGCCACCGCTAATTACTTTCGCATTCCCGCCGTTTGCGAACGAGCGTATCACTTTTGCGACCGGTGGATAACGAGCCCGATAACTGAAAAAGAACTTGTCCCCGATGGTGTGTGTTCTTGTAATGCGACGAGACGTCGTCGAAAGAACGATTATCTAATTCCATCGGGTACAAACGACGATGTTGTTTACAGCGAGCGGTTCTCTTCCTTCTGGATATTGCGTCCTGTAATTGCACAGGACTCGAGTTGTCACTTTTATCTGCGCGAGTATAGTTATCATAGATACGTTGGTTCAAAGACATTAATTCCGTTCATTCGAGAAGTAACGTAGATTTTATCGGAACATACGAATAATGGCTGACTAATGGTTGTAAAGAGCGGTTCATGAGAAATTGTCGAGCTACAAACGTTGGAAATGCATACTTTTTCTACACTACAAACGCAAGGATAACGAACCTCTCGCACAGTTTCGTAAGATTTAATAGCAGATAATATTCTTAATTAACTCTGAAACGGTATCATCGAGACATTGAAGGCTCGTGGAAACTAAATTACTCAATTCGAAGATTTTTAATTTAATTTTAACTTAACGATTAAAACACATCAAGCATTTTAATCAAATATTCTTTTCTGTTTCAGGTAAGTGTATTTCAAGAACATTTACTCTAAACCGTATCTCTTGTGAAAAAGCTGTAATCTATCTATCGTAATCACCTGATAGAAAGGTAACTATCTGCGTATTCCACTTCTTTCTGCCGGACATCGTGATTAGGCGAGATCTCCCTCTTCGAGCGGAGCGAACGGAGACGCTCGCGGTGTCGCGAAATCGAGCGCGAGTACTAGCGGAAAGCTTCTCTCTCCTTGGCGCACTTCATAAATTCGCGTCGACCGGAGTCGGCTATCCGACGAGGATCGTGCGTCGGGTTGCGTGTAAATAAATAAAGTATGAAATAGCATCGGTGCCGTCTCCGGTTCTTAGGCCTGGACGGTGACCGGCCGACGACGCTGCCATTAATAACCGCGAGGATCGGGATGGACGGCCGCTACTCGCAGGTAAAACCGAGAGTGAGAACGAGAGAAAAGGAAGAGTGAGGCCCGGTGATCCCGCTATTAAACATATCATACCAACGTTCCCGAATGGTGGGTCTCGCATGACGTAGCACGCACATCGCGTTTCTTTTCGAGGAATTCGGACGCATCGCGTCGCCTCGCGTCATGCTCGCGTGGTTTATGCTCATGCGAGATCCAGCGAGACTTCTGCGGTTCGAGCGTCTCTGAACCCCGAGAAAAATTATATTTTTTTTTCTTTTTTTTTTCGACGAGACTCGTGAATTAAGGAAATACGACGAGGTCAGAAAAATCAGTCTTCGTGCGGTCAGCATAATTAATTATCGGCTGCGTG